AAAAAAAGTAGTAAATAAAACTACTTAGGGATGGAATTGTAGGGTATTTTACAGTGTAGATTATTTTTAAAACAAGGAAAATATAAGTTTTGTGGTTTTTTGTTGTTGTTGTTGGTTTTGTTTTTTAGATGGGGCCTGGTAATGACAGGGATGTCTTTTTGCCTACTTTTCACATTTCTAGAAAATCTTCATAAAGCAAACTGGAATTGTATATAACTACATTTATATCAGAGTATTTTTGTACCCAGGCTAAGCTACTCTATTTTTAATCCTGCTGGGTAGAAAACTATATCATATTTCAATGGAAATTCAAAAATAAACTTTTTTTTCTGTCTCATATACAAATAATCAATAAAAAAAATTTAAGAACATGTAATGTATTATTTAAAAGTTATCTACTTTAAGGTGCCTAATAACTCTTTCATACCATAAAAAATGGGCTTTATAATCTCTTTTGAGACAGATAAGAAAAAAGAAAGTGGGTTGAATTATTCTCTGTCCAGTAGGCAGTAAATAACTTGTTTAAAAGTCTGATTTATATAGATTTATTATCTTGAAATCAAAATTACTACAGAACTTAAGGATCAAAATTATAAATGTATAATGAAAAGTAAATAAATAATTGCAAATGTTAATAAACCATGAGACAGCAAATCGTTTAAAAAAAGAGGACTTCCTAAGGATAAAAACATATGACAGGGGATAGGATTGGAATATCTGTAACTTGCTACTAAGATTCTAATTTTTGATTTCTAGTTTCTTCCCTAGTCTTTGCAACTTTCCTTATTTTTTTATCTTTTTATTGGTTTAGTTTTATAATAATACCTCTTTTCCTCCAGAAACACATTGATTATTTTTCCTTGACACGCTGTATAATTATCACTTCTACTTTCATTTCTTTCTTCCCTCTTTTTTACATTGTCTTAATAAAACACGAATGAAACAGAATTGTTTTGTGATGAGGCACCAGGTTTATTGAAAGGGCTGAGTAATATAATATGAACATTATAGTGAAGTGAAATATTAACCAGATTTCAAAATGTGTTATTTATAGGAGTTTGTTTAAATGTTGATCTCTTAAGCAAAACCAAAAAATCTTCTCCTGCAAAGCATAGCATCTAGAAACAGTCTATATAGCTGTACTGAGTGATATTGGCTGGAAGATAAACAATTTCTAAAAAAGAAGTTTGATTTCATGTCATTGATACCCATAATTTAAACAAACAAAAAAGCAGTGGTTAAAATATTTATCTCTCGGGGTAGTTCTGAAAGTAAATTAGATAGTTCTAAAAATAAAATGGTCCAGTACTTAGGCAAAACAGAAATGTTTGTCTAATCTATATAATCTTAATCTGAATTGGTATAAAATATACCACGAGGAGAAGGGTCGGAGATCTACATTAGTCATTCCTTACATGAGAGCCTAAATTTAATAAAAAAAAGACCTGAGAGTCAGAGAATTTAATACCAGATGTGCTTTTTTTTTTAGTGTTATTGATTTGTTCAGAAAGCCACTGAACCTCTCTAGACCTCAATTTCCTCATGATTAAAGCAATCAGAAACACAAAATATATAGTTGTTTTTTTTAAATTTTTTTACCAAACATCTTGTAACTAAAGAGAAGAATGAATGCATATACCTGGTGTTATGGGAGCCTGCCTAATGTGCCTGCCACGAGCCTAAAATTTTTTTTGAAGTTTCATATTTTATTTAAAAAATTAATATAAGGTTGGCTTTCTACTCCAGAGTATATGTTTTAATAAAAATATAACATTTACAATTACTTATAATTAATGAAAGAGGTGAGGGTGGGGCTGGATAGTTTTCTACCTTGTTTACAATAAAAATGATTTTACAGTGAGCTCAGTTTTAGAAAATTAGGCTAAATCAAAGGGAATCAACACCACATATTAGATTAGGATGCAGGCAATTTCTTTTGTTTCATGATATTTCTAGAATCCAAATTCTTAAGGAAAAAAGTGAATACAAGTGGCAGTCATTTCACTCCTTTACAGGCTACATCCTGGTAATTAATCCCTGAGGATAGTTTCCCCAGTAATTAATCCCTGAGGAAGGATTCCCAGGATGTTGCAAGAGGTGTACAATGCACTATTTTCAGACTTCTAATGGTTATTTTGTTAAATATATTCTAGCTGAGAGAGTGAACAGAAGATTGAAATGTTTTTGATTCTGTGGTTAATATCTTTTATAATCTTAGTAAGATAATTGTAAAAAGATTTCTTTGAGGTAGAGAAATGACTAGTGATGACATTTTTTGTTTTGCTACTAACATTTTAATTTTCAATATATGTAAGTAAATTATTAATCTCAACTGACTCAATAATCATTACATTTCTTTACATCCAATTCTCAAAGTTTATATTGCAGTGATCCTATATATAAAATAAGCATTTACAGTTTAACCTCTCTAAGCTACTGATAGACAATGTTTAGCCTCATAGAAAAATATGATATGTGAGGTTCTTATATTATGAAGAGTAAATTAATTTATCTTATCCAAATGCTAATCTTTTGTGATTTCTTTTAAATTCTTATTCAAAAAATAATAATCATGCATTTGGATTAGCTGTGAATTTCTTTTATCTAGACTACTCCATCAAAATTGATGATTAAGGATTGACTAGAATAAATGAAAACATTATATTTTAAAATCTATTGATTTCACTTTTCCCTAATTCTCAAATTTTAGTTCATGGAGCCAAATCTTTTTCAAATTCTTTCTGAAGTTTTTCAGTATTAGGTATCATTATCTGTTTCAGGAGCCACAGGGGGGAAAAAAATTACATGAAACGTGAATTGCAACCACATCTGGCTTTGAAAACTACTTTGGTTTTCTAAAGTCTTCCTCTTATGAAAGTTTTAAAGGCAGCTTTGGGTACAGGAAATTGATGTCAAGCACTGATAAGTTGCCTGCTCCCAAAGTCTCTATTTGAATTGGTCTTATAGTCTATTTTTTCACATTCAGAGATCAATGTTGACTATCTTTTTTCTTCTTGTAATTCATTCTTTAAATTCATTACTTGCACTTGCATTTGGAAGTGAAATTATATAGGAAAAATTTCTTCAACTTATAAATATAGTAACAGATAAAATCTCTTCCATAGATGGAAAGACAGGCAAACACATTTATGTATTCATACAGATCCTTTTATAAGAATTAATTTTTTTCTAACCCATTTATTTTCAGGCCTGTTAAGGGAATACACCTTTAAACTAGAAATCAGGAATTGTGGGTGATTTTCCTAGATTTGTCATTAACTTTCTCTGTAAAATTGAAGAGGATACCTCATATTGCTAGACTTAATGTAATTTTAAGCCCTCCAGAAATGAAAGACAATGTAGAAAATGGTGTTCACTTGTTACTATATAACAGTTGTGCAAATCTTCACAGTTTTTAAAAGTTTTCAGAAAGCAGCATGAGGCATTAGAGTCTGTGGTTTTTTAAAGGAAACTCCCAAGTCTATCTTTATAATCCAGATATTGTGAGTCTTCATTTAAGATGGGAAACAGCTTTTGATATAAAGATGTTCTCTAAGATCAAAGAAGATAGCACAAGACAATGGGTAGATGTGAACTCACTCTATACCCACCAGGCCCTCTCTTACAAAATGTCGATGTTCTAATTTGTATCCATCGTTTCTAAATTTGACAATTCTGTTCAACTAAGAGTGAGAATTGGTGATTATCTTTTGACCATAACATTTCATTAATGCTGAACAATTAGTAAAAGTATTTATTATTTATTATAATTATTATTATTTTACTAAAAGAATTAGTAACAACTGTTCATCTCAAGTAAAGGTCAAAAGTTGATGCAATTCATAAGTGCCAAGATGCTTTTTTCCAAAACAAAAATTCAATTTTCTCATTATTATTCCTCAGCAATCTCCATCTGCTGTCAGAGATATCCTAAAAGGTATATCTTGCTTCCAAGAAATAAAATTTTGTAGTATGGTCAGGTTTCTTATTTTTCCTGATGACTTTAACACTGAGAACTAGACATCACACTGATATTTCTTCTATTGTTTCCTAATACAAGAAGGAGCATCACAGCTAACTTGATCTGTGCTAGTCTGTATTGAGACCATCACTCTGCAAGTGCAGGATTCCATAGTATAAAACCACTGTCTGAAGCTTTTTTCCCTCAACTACCTTCCTCCCTTCCCCCTCCCCTTTTCTTTGGCTTGCCTCTCCCTCTTCAACCAAAACATTAGTTCTTATTAGAGTGCCATTAAAAAAATACCTAATTTAATAAAACACTTTGTGTTGAGAATCTTCCTTTGCTCATTCATATAGACTTATGAAACAAGTTTTAAAAATAGCAGTTTTACTTTTCATTTCCCCTATATTACCCAAGAGCAAAATTCAAGTGAAATAACATAAAGCTTTGAGGGAATTAATATATCTAACATTGGTCTGGCATTAAAATTTTCTGGTTGGGCAGCACAGTTGTTTAATTGGGAATCTCAGTGACAGATGAACAACCTCAATGCTTGGGTCAGCAAGCAGAGGAGCTTCACTCTGTCACCTATCAAGAATGATGCTTGTCGGGACTGATCTTTCCACTCAGAAACCACTCATGTTTCTAGTCTATACCATTGATGTTTTCTGATATTACAATGGAATAGACACTAACTGAAAAAGTGCATAGGTATATTTGTAATTCTTTGTTTCCCATAAGCCAAATGCAAATGTAACACTACTCCAGATACTGCTTCATCAGAAGTCCCCAAGATAACCAAAAGTAAGTGCCAATTTCCTCATCTCAGGAATAGTGCTGTAAAGAATGAATTCTAGTGATCAGCCTGTTCGCAGAGCATGTCACACACCTCCAGGTTGGTTAACTCCTTGGCCTCCTAAGAGGTACCTCAAAGAGTCGATTGATGTTTTTGCATGTATGACTTAACTAATGTGTAGAAAATTTTTTAAGTTCACCTTTTCTTTATTCTGTCTTTTTTACCCATCTTCCCTCATTGTAGCAAATTAGACGGCCGGATGAAAGCAAAGGAGTTGCTAGTAGAGTTGGATCCCTCAAAGTAAATATGTTTCTAACATTTTTTGGCAAGATTTCGTCTATAGCCTACACTTCTTCCTTTTCGGAGGGTGGTGGGAGGAAGGGAGCTTTTTCCATTTTTCACCATCCCATTTTTTATTTTTATTTTTATATTTTTATTGGCTGTTGGGTCATATTATTTTTTTTTGTTTCAGCTACACATAGAGCAACCAGCTGAAGGCAAGCTGCCAAATAACTAGCTTTGAATGGCACCACAAACAAGAGAAAGGGCAACTGCCTCATTACAGGTGCCTATAATTTGGGGTTCTAGAGTAAACCGTTCCTCTGATTGATGTCACTGTCTGTTAAGTTCCTGTTACACAGAGAACTAATATTTATTTTCAGAATATTATCTCCCCTTTTAACTTTTTTTGTGAAAAATATTTAAATGTTATTTTAGTGTGATTACCATTTGTAGTTCATTCCAGAAAAAAAATATTATGAGTTAATAGCATGTTAATATATGTAGTCTTAAGAATTGGAAAGAAAAGAATTTTGCATGATGCTAATACATTGGACCCACGTATAGCTTATAATGTTTAAGCACTCTTAATCACCTTTGTTTTTTAAAAGTTAAAAAAATTGATATCATAATCAACAGAAACAGATTTATATCTAAATGTTTGCCCATTTGTTTATATAATCTACTAATATACAACTTAAAGATTTTCTTATTTCATGGTCATTTGCTAGTTGCTAAATATCCATTTTATCAATATATCTTGGGCACTTAGTACTATAACATGTAATCACAAGGAAAAGGTAAATATGTTATCACCCACAAGAAACACAGACATAGTCACTGATCACTTTTAACGCTGCCACCATTAACACAAGTTAGAAAATTTGCTGAATTCTAAAAATATGCAGAAGAGTCCCCCCTCAAAATTAACCACTTTCTTCTATCAATCCCATTTGTCCTTACAGCAATAGTAACTGTTAAATTAATGAAGATGCCAGATTATTCAGTACACTGAGATGTCCCAAAATTCAATAACTACTTTGAGGCCTAATATTGAATCATTTCAAAATTTTACATACCTCCAATTTATTTCCATTTAACAATTTATGAAACAAAAATTACTGCACTCTTTCCTCTCCTTGCCTCTTCTGCCTTCTTAGTTTTTTTGTTATTGTTGTTTATTTATTTATTTGTGTGTGTACATGCATGAATGCACATGAATGAAGGTGTGTTTGTATGTTTTTGTCCTTTATCTCAGAAAAGCCATCCTCTGTTCTCTAATACTGCTTTTTAGTGGGTAACTATTTTATTAAAATGTTATTTCACTAAGGATAATAGAGGGGATAGGAGTGTTGATTGTATATCTATTTCAAAAACTAGGCAACTTAAAATTATTTAGTCAGAAAAATGTAAGTTTGTGTTTCCTGATATGTCAGTAGCATTCCTCACTGTCTACCTGTGAGGTATTATATTTTACCTTTGTCTTTAAGGAAAGATAAACCCATTATTGTTTAGACTATGGTTTATGACTCAGATTCAAGTAAGAAGGTGCAGTGAAACATGTTTTTGAAAATTATTGTTAGTGAAATAAAGATTAAAATGGCATCCATAACTGTAGCACCATCTGCTGTAAACAGGATTGTATGTGCAAGTGAGTGTGTGTGTGTAATTATCTCTAAGTTCAGCTTTTGGATGTATAGAACTTCAAGTTATAAACATATGTTTATTAAGTGTATATACAGTATGATTATGTATATACACATATTTATGTTTAAGAGCAAAAGATACATTTTATGGTTCAATCAGTTCATTTTAATATGGATGCAGCGTTAAATCAAAAAATGTGTTTGGGAAGAAAAACATATTTCATAATCTATAAATGTCTTTACTCTATAAATGTTTATACCAAATAGAAAATTTTAAAGTTAATCTCTAGGTTATTATAAGGATAGTTATAGTATTTATTTTCTCTAATGCTTTGGGAAGAAAAGATGCTGTAATTTAAAGAAAATAAAGTGATGGCTTCCTGTCACAGGTTTGTTGAGCATGTATTCTTATGTTATACAAAAATCTTTGATATTTTGAAGTGTTTGCCAAAGGCAGTGAGAAATGTGTAATGCTATGATCTTATTTTTAAAAGGAAAACGGAAAAGAGAACAAGTTGCTTTTTCAATTCATTTTCTGATGTTTACATGTAGCTCCATCGAAAGCTGGAGGAGCTCAGAGATCACCTAGAAGGCAATGTGAAAGGATACTCTCTCAGAGTAAATGTACGATTTCACTCGGTGATTTTTTTTTTTTTCTCCCTAAACTTCTGCTGACTGGTAATTCCAAATCTGATTGGTTTGTCCTTTCATCTCCATCTTTTTTACTTTCTGTCTCTTTTCTCCCCTTTTTCTTTTCTAGCTGTGGCTTCACGCTCACATTTATCAAATAAAGATTAAATTGGCAGGGTAGAGGACCCTTAAGCCACACTGACTAACATTGCGGTTGATTTAATAACATTTTGGCCTCAATGCAAAATAAAAACTTTCTTTTCAAAATCAGTATTTCATATACAGTTGTGTAATCTTCTGAAGATCTTTTCATGAGACTTTATTTGGAGCTTATCCATTGATCATGTCTTCTGCCCCTTGTTGAATGTGTCAGCAGGATTATAGATTATAGGCTGGATCTAAGGAGTAGAGCCTTGGTGATTCAGTTTCAATTTTCAAGGGAAATGATCAGTGTTAGAGACTCATCATAGGTAATCTGGCAAGTAGACAATTTGTTCTGAGTTAATAAACTTCTCTTATCTCAGATTCTTTTGGAATAATTACGTCATTTTTTGTTTAAAAATAAGAAAATTAGCAGTAAGCATCTCAGCAGGAACACCTTCATGTAATATTTTACAAATATTTAAGCTAAAGGCTGACATACCAAAGACCACCTTTGAAGGAGAACACCTTATAGCCACTCAATACTGTACGTACATCATATTGGCAGTACTAACAATAGCATATTTTGTGACAGGTAGTTCAGACTTTTAGAATGCTCCTGAATATGTCTTTTCAAGAAACATGAAACTAAAATCTCTAAAATGGTATATGATATAAATATGGCAGAAGTAAAGTTAAATTATTGCGTAAATAATTTGTAGCTTAACCCTAACCTCTCATTCCTGGGGCTTCTAAAAAAGTTCCTAAGAATGCTATTCCTGATTTACTTCTCCCAAGATTATTGTAATTCCTTTAATTCATATTGCTATTATAGTTTTGCTATAAAAAAATCAAATAAAAATTAGTGATATGGTAATTCTCTGGTTTCTCAGCTTGTTTTTAATTATGTACCATGCATAGTCATATATATCTCCATATTAAATTTCTGATTAATAAAATCCAAAGTGGTTTTTATTAATATCAGTCATAAAATGCTGGTAGCTAAACAAAGAAGGAAATTCATACAAATATCTCATTTCTTCACTTCTTTCTTTGAGTCAGTACTTCTTTTCTGTGCATATTCTTATAAAATTTGAAGATCATTCATAATCACCCCCCAGAATCTATTCCACTGTCCTTTAAAAAAAGATATGACTTTTATGATTAAGTCAGTCTGAACATACCTGAATATTATTCTAAAAATCCATAAAAATATTCTAATATATATTTTAGTGTCGTGCTTTTCCCTGTCCAATGAAAAGTGATATTTTTCTTTCAATCAAATTGATACTAGAAAGTTGAGACTTACTAAGGTCTATATGGGAGGGAGTTAGTGTGAAGTTAGGATCAAATTAAAAGTTTGGTGCTTTAAAAATTGGGTTATCTCATGCCACTAATTTCTTTTTTCAACACTTATACTGTTATGTGATGAGTAGTCTCAATCTCTTATGTTTATTTCATTCAGAAACACTTTGTTCTGATTATCTTCTTCCTAAAAAGATTAAAAATGAGGTATATCATTCTAAGGATCTCATTAACTATCAGATGTAGAAAAACAAAAAAACTATCAAAAGTCAAATATATGCTCTCTAGAGAGTTCATCTAAGTGAACGTGCAAGTCCAGTGCTTCATGTTCAACTTCTGTCTTTCAATTTAATTCCTATTACCCAAGTAAACATTAAAATATTCTTTGTATATTGAAAAATCTTTCTTAAAAGCAAAATAAATTTATTCTCAGAATCATAGTCTGTATTAAAAAGATTTTGTTTCTAAAATGAGGTAAATTGGCATACAGGGACCATTTCGTTTGTGAAAATTTATTGTAGCTGTCCACACACAAGATCAAGTATATGGCTGTCTTTTAATTCATTGAAATACTGCTGAATATTTCAATGAGATGAAAGGTTCAGAACAATGTTGCTAGTTAAATTTGTATTTAATAGTTGGAGGTAAGACATCATTCAAAAGTGTGGAATAATGCTCCTTTCTCTTGGTCCTGGGGGTCTCATGAGGCAGGACTACACATAGCCTCTGCCAGGAGTCCCCCAGGGAGCAGGGCCACACATAGCCCTGCCAAGAGAGTGCAGCAAGGTGAGTTGCTCAAGGCATGCCTTGAGCTAGGGACTGCCGCCTGGGGAGATGGACAACCAGAGACCAGACACAAAGTTCTGGGGCTTAGCACACGCACTAAGCAACTTTATTGGGTAAAAGCATGTCTTATATATATTTTAGCCAGCTGTTAACCCCTCCCATACCTCTCTGTCTCCTAGGTAACTCAATAGGAAGTCTGTGGTTTGCGGTTAAGCTTTGCAAATTTTTGCTGACCCAGTCTTTTTGCATTTCTGCTGACAGTCTAAATCCTGGAGAGCAGAGTACCTCCATCTTTAACAGGTGCTCTCCTTCATTTTCCTCCAGAATAAGGGTTTAATTAAGTCATTAATTCTTTAATTGGTGTGATGTAGACAATATATTATTATTTAGAAAGGAAAAAGCCCTACATCATTATTATTAGGGATAATCAATGATATAAAGTAGAGTATCCTAAGATATAATTTTTGGAATAATATTAAATTTTATTTATTTCTCATATGGAAACATTTTTTG